CTCAACTCAGTTCTCTCCCTTTTTTTTTGTATCCTGGGTTTCCAATTGTTTCAGGACAAAAAGAACATTTACTACATTCAATTTTCAATTTTTTTCTCATCACTGTAACAAATTTTGTCACCAAATTGTCACATAACCTTTTAGAACTAAACCATAAATACGGTTTAGATGATAGACTTTTAAAAATTATTTAGAAATTGTCAGAATTAGAGAAGTGATTCATAAAGAGTATATTCCTAACTTCTTCCTAGTTCTCTTAACCATGGGAAACTTGCTCATGGCTTGAAGTATAAATGGTGATAAGTCCATGGTACAATCAAAGCCAGGTTACATGGATGATGCAATCTGTATAGAAAAACAAAAACAAAAAAGTGTCTTGGCTACCCTCCTATAACTAGTGAATAATCAATATTAGTTTAAAATTTTTAAATAGTTTGTTTTTGGTATCTTTGATGACAATTTTGTGAGCCCTTGGTCCCAGAGCACTCTGCTGTCTGAGGCCTTGGGAGTTGCAGCAGGTGACAACTAGTATTCAGATTTCAACCCACCAGAAGAATGATTCTCTGATTGAGGAGAATCCATTTGAGCAAGGCCTGTGAGACTACTGACTCTGAAATAGTTTATTTTTGTGACTCTCCACTGTATGTTTCTGCATGACTCTATTCAGACAAAATACAATCTGGTATTCATGGAATACCAACTTGATTGTTTTTCAAATTCTTGCTGTAGAATATTATTGTAAGATGTGTTACATTTGTTTATGCCGTGGCCCACTTGGTTGTAATTATTTAAAAATGTATTACATTTGTTTGATTAAATAAAAATAACCTGGGATCAGAAGGTTGAGTCAGCAACTAGCTGACAGGAAGTGGTACGAATGAACCACATATACATAGGTTTCATAAGTGGGGGCAGAGCAGAAGGACACCTTTTTTTTTGAGAGACCCTAGCTAGGAGAGGAGGTTAGCTACTTGCTATTCAGCATCTCTGAACAAGAAGAATGTCACCTCAACCTTTGACCCTGAGTTCCATAGAGGGATAGAGATCTAGATAAAGTTCCCTTTTATTGGCAGTGATAGAGTCAGTGCCCAAGGTAACAGAATTTCTCTCTGGATGCAGCCAAGAGGTAGAACAGCTGCTGGTAGTTGCAGAGTTGCAACTGCCAATTAGGACAATTCTACTGGAATTAATGAAAAACAACAAATTCTTGATAGTTTTTTTTTTTCACTAAAGAGAAAAACATTAAGACTTTTTCCAATAGATTCATTTCCTAAGATGGCTGGTCACAGGTAATTACATGCAGTGAACTAAATCTACTGATGATTTTGGTGTTTTAGTTTGAGCCTTATCTTTCTAGTCATGTCAGTTGTGTCTGCTCTTACTCCCCATGACTACAAAGAATATTGTGATATGTGACTGTTTAAGCTATAGTATATGTTGCCCTCTAGTGATTCATATGAACACAGGAAAAGTCACATTGACTGTCCAAACTGTACAAATCTGGGTATAGGTTTATTTTATGTAGAATCTATGTGTGGAACTACTTCCATTATTTGGTCAAGTATTTTGTCAATGTCTCTTTTTTACAATTCCTTTTGCTTTTGCAACAATGTCTCAATTCCAAGACAAATTCTGTTCTACATTCTTTGTAATGTTTGTGAGATATATATGTATATATATGTATATATATATGTATATGTATATATGTGTAAATTAGAAATCAAAATGCATAAGCAAAATGTGAAAAAATATTCCCAATTAAAAATAGTTTTTATATTTACATTTTTGTTACATAACTATATTTCTATGGTATGTATCTAACCAGAAAAATTATCACACTAATAATATAACCAATTGAAAACAAATCAATTTTCTTAGCTTGGTATTGCCTAAAAAA